CCAAGTCCACGCAGGTCTTCCTTGGCACTGCCAGGCAGCAGCAGCAGTTTTGCAGGTCTGGTGACGAGAGCACGTCGCAAAACTCTGACGCGGGGTGCCAAGGCATTTGCTGACATCGTGGCCAAGGTGGGCGAGGCAGTTGGTGATGATCCAGATCCTGACCCAGACATACCAGCCATGAATGGAGCTTGATACTGGGAACAGGAGCACGGGGTAGACTCGAATCCCGGTGCGAGGGCGTGAAGGACAAAGGTTGATATCGTGATGGGAGTGTTTGAGATGTCGCAATATGCCGGCCGGCAGTCAGTATGCGGCGGAACACCACCTGGAACACGAGCCCAAGGCCTCGACTCCGATGGGCCCAAGGCCTCGAAAAAGGTGACTGTGGATGCTAAAGATGCTAAAGAGGCTGAAGGAAAGTGGAAAGGCAACTTTTGGGAGAATTTCAATGTTTTCACTTCACAGTGCCACCAATTCATGCTGGCAGCCCGGCCTATGCGGACCGGCCAGAGCCAGCGCGAGTTCAGAATTAGCCTGGAGCAGCAAAGATTGAGCGTCCTTACTTGTTGCTCCACTAGGGAGTTTAGTCTTGTTTGTCAACGGAGTGGGAACATTCCACAGAGGCACAGCGGCGTTCTTTTGGACTTTGCCTCCTCTGCTCTGACGACGTCATGGGCATGCAGCTTCCTCAAAAGCTTACGCAGAAGGAGTGCAACTGGTTGTGTGATGTTGCGCACACACAAAACACACACACATATATATATATATATATATACTGTATATATAAATATACATACATATATTCGTACATATACACATGCATAGAGTCTACCACGCACATGTTTTTCTACATTGTATAATTTTTGACTTAAGCCCTTAAGCAGTTTGGCACACAATTTTGTGTGTCCATAATTTTGCAAAGGATCTCTGAATCCTCCCCAAATTTGCATCTGAAACAAAGAGACTTTGGCATTGGAGGACGCTGGGCAAAGTGTCAGAATTCTTGGCGCAGTCAGCTTTGCTTCTTGACAGGCGAGGAAGGAACCGCAAGTGGGTATTTGGGAAACAGACACATTTTGCTTGTTACCCTTCTTAGTTGAAGATAATATGACATGTGCTTGCCATGCTCCAGTGCTTGTAGTTTGCATCCGGCAGGCAGCCTGTGCCTAACTTGGCCTACGACCTCTTTTCTGACAAGACTCTGATCCACCTCGAGTTGGAAGATCTGCTTGTGATAAGCAAACCTCCTCATTGGCAAGTGGATTCAAACACGGATAGAAACAGTCACTTGTTAGCAGTTCGATTGCCTTCCGTTGAGCCTCCTGCGGCAGATGGTGAATAAAATAGGTCGTTTTGGGACGTGACAGATCCTCCCAGCATGTTCGACGTTCGACGGCTGTTTTGAATATTTCTGTCGTTCTGTGATTTCTGTCGTCCTTTTCCAGTTTGATATTTTTTGCTTGCTCACCTTCAGTGGATCACGTCCTCGCAGACTGGATTCCCCTAAATCTGAGCAGTTCTGGAGTTCACTCGGAAGTTTTGTAAAATGGCCTCTCAGGGGGGAATTCTGGACTCCGCGGGAAGGTTCCTGCCGGAACCAAAGCAAACACGTGATGACAATGATGATGACGACGATGATGATTGCGACGAAGGTCATTGGAGAAGGTGTATTTAGGTACCCAGCCATGCGGGCCATACGCCTCATCCCGGTCTTCTCCAGGTCTTAGGTTACTCTAGTCACTCTTGTCCATCCCCAATTCGGATCCTTCGGATTCCTTCCTTGTCTGGTATTTTTTGTTGAAAATTCATCATTGTGCCAGTTTTGCAATCTCCTACAAAAGCGTCACTTTATCATTTCATGCCTCGAATAGACGATTTCTCCACCTCAGGTGAAGCATCCTTGGGAGACTTCCTGAAGGGAATCTTTCCTGTTCGTCGCTGGCCAGTGTTCCGCGACACGGCAAATGCCAAAGGCTTTTTACACCGTGCCTGCCTTATGACTGCTGACTTGTTTGGTTATTGTAGCACCTATGATGGAGCATGATCCCAGGTTTGGATGTGCCCAGTTCGGGCTTGATCCTTGTGGCCAAAACGTACAGCGCGTACTTCGACTTGCGTCTTCAACTTCAGACAGGCCACCGGTTTGCCATTGCCATCCATTGATTGCAAGTGTGCCTGTCTTGCAGGCCAGATGCACCGAGTGACTTGGCATGATGCTGAAAAAGCCTCGATGTTAAAAGCTGATGTCGAGCACGACAAGAAAGACCATTGTTGTGTCATGCCACCAAGAGAAAGGCTAGGAACGAACGGTCTTTGCCACCGATTCAGTGGATGTCCTGTCAGTGCAAGGAGTACTTGGTGCTTTCCCATGGCTGGCTCCCGCCTCGCGGTGCCGTGGTGGCGCGGGTGCATGCTTTGAAGGGGGGCCGAAGTGACCAGAGCTCTGTGACACGCAGGGGCAGGGTGGCCATCACCAGTTCCTTGGCAGTGCTCTTGAGAGCCAGCCTGCAAGACTGTGAGTCCCAAAACGAACCACAAATCACCCTAAAACGTTCCAGAAATATGCGACCAAAGCTGACGTTGCTTGCAAAAACAAATGCTGATTCGCGACATGACCCTGCTCGCCCTGATTCCAAGAAACATGTCAGTTTGTGAGGTGAGTCAGATGTGTAGAAACATTGCCACGTCTCTTGAGACGATTCTCGCAAGGTGGACTGGGGTGGTGGTAGGGCATGCCTCTTGAAGTGGCCCACACTCAGGGCTGAAAGTCTTGAGCTACTGCATGCTGAGCGGCGCGGTGTCTTTGGTGGCAGTTCGCTTGGTGACAGGGCGAATGCATCAAATCCGTGACTTTGATGCATGCAGATGGGTTGCAGTGCCCACTAGCGCGGCAAGTGGGTCACACTAAGAAACCCCATCAGAGGATCCTAAATGTTGGATGTGAGGCTTGCACCTGTCTCATATCGGCCACCCGACGGTCACGGATGGCAAATATGCAGCTCTTGGTCTGCAGTTGATTGTGGTGTCGCCAACCGTTTGGTCCCAAGAGTGATTATATCTTCAGAGCTTCCGGTGAACATGACGGAAGTACAACAGATGCTGCGGTGAACTTGAAAGGACAACGTCTTTGGATGTTCCTTCTTTTTGCGGGGAGCCTGTTTTGCCAAGACCTGTGCACCTGGTAAGTGGACCATGCCATAGAGCAGACCAGTCGTCGTTTGAAGATGTGTGAAGCCAAGCTGTTTTTGTTGCTGAGACCGGTCAGGACGTCAAGCTGTTTTCGGCTCAAGAAGTCTCCGTGGAGATGCCACATGTGAGCCGCCAACGCCATGTGGTGGAACTCCGGTGCCTCGAAAACAGCCGTGAGGAAACCAGGAGATACTGAACATACATGGATAAATAGCAAAGCAATGATGCAAAATGATCCTGGGAGTGGGAGAGTAACCTAAAAGACTCTACTTGTTAAGTTCCCTACAATTCTAGGAACCAAATGATTCGTGCGTGAGCTATCCTGCATCCTAGCTAGGAGCGTCCTAGTGTCTAGGAGCGAACTTACCCCTTGCTCAATTAAGTAAGGAGGATTAAGGAGGGAGGGCCACGGGCTTAAAAATCTTCAAACATCGAGTAAATGCCCAGGTCCTCACCTACGCCGGCGCATGTTGGTGGAGGCCGGCTTGGTCGAGGGCTCAAGGACTCGTAGTACCTTCTTCGTGGGCGGCAACGCGGTCGACGAGTTCAAAGAGGTGACTTGGAGGGCCATGGCCGGGCCGAATGCATTACGGGCTCTGAAGTCTTGTTTGCCATTCAGGCCCGTTCAAGGCCATTACCGGGCCGTGGCCATATTTTCAGGTGTTGCTCTCCAAGTTCGGCACCTTGTCTCGTGCCTGGCGCTTGGGCCTCGACGCCGATGGCAGTGGCAAGCTCGACATGCGAGAGTTTTGCGAGGCGTTCCGGGGCGTTCAGCGGGACCTCGGCGTGAGACGGCAGCACCCCGTTGTTCGAAGCGAACCCTTCGGTTGGGGAAACGTGGGCGAATCGGTTTGGGATTTGAGCCAAGAATTAGGATAGAGGATGTTGTGGTCGTGCTTTCGAAGCCCTGCCAGAAGCTGAAACAGGCACTTCGTAGACTGGGCTACGTGGGCAACATCCGCACCCTGTGGCATTTGCTTGATGGTGGAAACGCAGGCAGTCGCGACACGTGTGGGTCTGAACTCATCATGAAAAAGAGTCGTCGTACAGCAGACTGACGCTAGCAGCACCGGCGCAATGTTTCAGGCACCCGACTCCGGTTTGTGTTGCAACAGTCGGAGTTTTGTTTTGCTCAGGCAGTATCTCCTTTGATGAACTTGATCCCAAAGCAGCTGCATCGCTGGAAAAGTTTCGGGTCATGAGCTTGATGCATCATGAATCCATACAGCACATGTGGAAGGCCTGGCCTGCTGTGACACTGGTTTGACGTGGCGTTGTAGTTCTGGTGGAAAGAAGATCTACACCGGGCAAGATTAACATGGAATACAACCCATTGGTTCCCAAGGTTCCATGTTGATCATGAGCTCCGCGGCGTAAATGAGCTCTATATCATGCCTTCTTTGAATGCGGTGCTCGTGTGATTTGCATCTCTTGGATACGACTCGAATTCCTTTTTGTATCCGGTCGGCACTGCCAACTGTTCTGAAGCAGGCTGCGGCTTGTGCTGGCTAAGTCTGTGTATCGTAGACTTTGACTTTGATCGTGACATTCTCATACAGACATGCACATGTTGAGGAGATGGTTTCATGTACAAACTCCTGAGGGTCCCCCAGTGCATTGAGATGTTTAGATTGGACATGAGTGGGCTGTGGCTACGGGAGCAGTTAGTCGATGAGCTGCCATGCCAGAGTGTGCATGTGGTCATTGCCATTTGATCGGAGTGCGCAAATCTTTTCTGAACACAATTTTGAGCGACTCGGGGCAAAATCTTGTCACAGGGCATTGTGTCTCCTGGCTGGTTTCACTTAGAGTTCGGAATTTGCTACCCGATACTATGATTCTGGGTGTTGGACAGGTTGTGATGGACAAGGACCGCAGCAATGTGGTTGGCCTACCGATGTTCATCGAAGGTTGCAAGTCCTTGGGCTATGAGGATGAAGAGGAGGCACGATTGTCGAAAGTGGGTGATCTCTCTGTTCAATGCATTTTTGTTGAATCAGATGTTGTTCACGCTGTTCTACCGAAGGTCACAGAACTCTTCGAATATCTTCTTCTCCGAGGAGGTAGCCGAAATCTGGCACTGGAGGACAGTGAAGATACCGGATGTCATCCACTGACTGGATGTGGGATTATGGATGATTCTCCTCAAATGATTCTTATGTGGCCTCTTTCAATAGAACAAATTAACGACCACATGAGAGTTAACTAAAATTATTGTCATGCACTTTCCACACGGACGTTTCATCCAAGACTGTGGTTTGGAGCCTTCCGTGGAAAGCGACACGGGAAATCCCAAAAACGATAACTCTGCTGTCATGTGCGTCCTATGTCCTTGGGGGTCAATCTGCGAACTCTGCAAACCAATGCCCACGGCATCCGTGTGCGAAACGCTGCACAACGATACGGGACATGTTACCTTTGAATGAATACCACCCCAAACAATCAATTTAGAGAACAACTCATATATGTCCTCGATGTGTTTTTTTGAGAAGCGCGTATTCGGTCCAGAGCCAGGATATTGTCTTCCTACAGAGCTGGGAGCAAACCAAGAGAAAAAAGGCCGAACGAAGACGCCTTGGAGTGCACTGGGTGAATCGAGATCCCTTCTTAACGGCAAGGCATTTGGACCCAAGCCGTTCATTCGATCAGTCTGAGTACTCCCACAGGGTGTCAGTGGACTGGGAGGAGGACGGATTCGGCTGGGCGGATTTGGCAGAATACTCCGCATGTTCATTTCACAAATCAGATCATTACTGCTAAACGTACTGCCTGCAGCTCCTCACACCTCGTCAGGAGGCTCAAAAGTTCCGGGTATACTTGATCAAGACCTTTGGCTCGTTGCCAAAGGCCTTTGAGGCCATTGATGCTAACAAAAGTGGCGAGCTGTCTCTGGTGACTTGGATGCAGTCAATCCGGGCAGATTGCTTCGCCACTTTGCTTTCCAAAAACTGATTTCTGTACCTAATCCAACCACAATCCACGAGGAACGACGTTGTACCCTTATATATGTATATATTCGTTCATTTTTTGGCAGTTTGTTTGCACAGATGAGTTAAATATTTCTCAGGTCTGGTATGCCATTTCATTGAGAGTTTGGCAAGTCCGGTGCCTCTCAAGTAGAAAAGATGTACTCATGCGCATGCTGACGTGCGACTGATCATCCAAGTACATTAGATGAACTATGTATGGAACACTTCCAACATGTCATGTACATAGGTACCCATTGTCAGGGTGTCACATTCCATCTACAGCAATATAGAGGATGAGGAGTGCGACGCATTGCCCTGTGACGCCTGCATAGTGTTAAGGGTTTCCCGTTCCCGGTTGCGGCGTTCCCTTGCTTCGGTGAGCAGCCAGGCAGAGTTCCAGGCAGCAGTGGCCCAGATCCTCAAGTATTGTCGCCACGGCGAGGCACGACAACTCTTCCGGACCTTGACCCACCCTAGAACCATGTGCCTTGGTCGCACAGCATGTGTTGAGTGAGTTGAGCTTGGATGAAGACCTCTTTTTTGCTTTGCCTATTCCTCCCAGGCTTACCTGGCAAGAGTTGGGCATCACCAAAGTGGAGTGGACAGCCTACCGAATGCAGAAGGCCTTGAATGCGCGGCGGCTGCATGTGCAGTCGAAGCTGAATGCCATAGCACCGCTTGGCGCAAGTCCTCGAGCTTAGGCTGAACCATTGCTTTGGGGTGAAGGTGAACTGTAAATGGACCTACGTAGGACAACGTAGGACCTAGATAGGACCTACATGTGCAGATTGCTTGCTCCCACCACTCACCTACCAACCCATGTAGCCTAAACTTGACCCTTTTGCTTGCTTTCTGGCGTGACCTTGCCTTACTTGCTTTCGCTTTGCTTCGTTGTTTCACTTCATGTGGAGCAGACACAGCAGGCTTGGAGAGACTGGTGATCGAGTCAAAGAAGTAGTAGGATCTCCATCAGCTGCATTGTATGTTTGTTGGTCTAGCCTGGTCCTTGCTGGAGCCGACCAAGGGTTCAGCTGCTTGAGTTTTCACAAGCCCGGGCTTACCCTGTAGAAGACCACTCCAAGGAATGCGACGGGCAGAGATGAGCCACATCCAGCGGATCCGAGAGCAGCTTGCGCACGCTTGTTCGAGGGGGATTGTTACATGAGGGGCGTGTGATTTGTTCTGCACGGTTTTTTCTTGAAGCAATGAGTTGACGGGAATGCCTTGACACACACACACACAGCATGACGCCCCGGATCGTGGAGGTACAAGCCAGGCAGCACGTTTGTCTTCAACTCACCCTTGCCAGCTGGCTGGGGCCCGCCGCCGGAGTATGTGCCCCTGGAACCGCCCAGGAGTAGTCAATATAGGAAGAGATTAGGCACGCCGGACTAAGTCTGTCCGTGCCTGGAGGCTCAAGATGCTACAGGAATTGACAGTGAGGAAAGTGTTTACGTGTCAGTGTCAATAGGCTGAAATTGAAACCCAGCCACGGACACTAATATGAGGCCACTGTTTGTCTCCGTCGCCTCTTGTTGCCTCCACAGCGGCTCTGTGCGCAACATGCGAGCAGCTCCGTGTTTAACGATCCAAGCTCCTTCCAGCCCAGCCTTGAGCAGACGTTGGAACCACGTGGTTCTGAGTTCCAGACTCTTTAAGACTGGAGGGTGGGGTTTGATGCTCAACCTTTGCACAGTGTCAAAAGGACAGGTGCAAAGACTGAAGCCGCAGCGGCAATAGACGCGCTTGTGACGCACAGAGAAAGACCGACACAGTACAGATATAGATTATCGACGAGGTTTGCACTTCAAGTTGTGTTATATAGGTATATATAATATACTTGGGCCAAGCGGTCATTTTCTTGCATTACTTCCCGGTTGCTGATTCCTCTGTCCTTTTACGAGTCCACTCATTTCCATCTCCATGCAGCTAGATCGGTTGACCTGGCAGATCCCCGTGGCAGGACCGAGTCTCTCACTGCGGGACATCCGTTTTGCCCGCTGCGTGGCCGTCATCTCAGGCCACCGAGACCAAGCTGCGGGATGAGCAACGGTGCTCGAGAAACTTTCTGCATCGGCCTCCCAGCTGAGACGCTTCGGGCCAACTGGGTGGGAGGAGGGGAGAGGAAATGGCGCCAGGGTCAACTAAAGGCGCCTTCTATGAAATATATAAGTAATTATTTTTCGACAAGTCCTCACTTTATACAGGCACAAAGTCTGAAAGTTCTGAGTCCCAACACTTGGACATCAATCTCAGATTTTGACTCTCAAGGTGACCGAGGATACACACGTGCCAGACCTGGGACCCTTCGGGGCCGGACCGTTCGCCGGACGTGAGAGGGTGACCGAAAAGGACTGTCACGAGTACCGTCACGAGGGACCTCGGAAACACCCTGCAGCAAGTATCACCCGCGCAAGCAGACGTCGGCAGAAGAAGAGGTGTGGACCCTGGTGGTGGTTCACACGATGAGATAAGCACTTTTCCCTGCCCTGAATCTTTTTCATATCTTTCGAAGACTTACCAACTTGTATCATAGGAGCACGAACAGCAGCAGAAACAAGAGCTTTCTGTAATCCAAGGTACCGCTTGACCTTCGCAGTTGCAGGCCCATTTGGATTCGGCCACTTTGGGCGTAGGATACTGACAGCTGTATGTCAGTCGGAGACAGGGCTGCAGGGGGCTCTGATGTTAGCAGCTTGCCATAGGGTGCACCCAACCGGAGGTCGACACAACCCAGTCTCTAGCACCAACTCGGTTCAACGCCTTCTCGTAGACTTGTGGCAGCTTGCCCCAGTATCATGAGTGAGTGCTTCAAACACTACTGCTTGTGCATTTTGAGGAAGTTTAGGAATCATGTTGTTTTTTTGTGCGCTTGCTTTCTGATGCCTTTGCCAAACTCACTACTGATCCTTTGGTTATGTTGTCACCCATTCCATGTCATGGGCCAACACCTGTGGTAGGGTTTTGCAGCAGGTGATGAATTGTCCAGCGATACTACTTAGCACATCTCAGGCCGCATTTTTGGATTTCTTGCCCCTCCCAAGTCCAAAGTATCAAGTCTCCTGGCCATTCCTTCCATCCAGGCCAGCCTTATTCGGCTTCATCGTCTCTGCCTGGAGACCTGATGGCTGTGTTGCAGCGATGCACTGCGAGCCTCGGCTGTGGAGAGAGTGGCGACAAAGCAGAAGACAAGAAGAAGAAGAAGGAGGAGAAGAAGAAGAAGAAGAACCAAAGAAGAAAAACAGAACTAGACGACGGGTTGACGTAATTAGATTTCCGTCATGATCAGCGCTGCATGAAAGCCATGGATGTATAACTGCAGGATTGCGATGGCATCATCATGGTCGCGGTAGTGTTCTGCAGGATAGAAACTGAACTTCCACATGCCTTCATGCAAAAAGGCCAGAAAAGCTTTCACGTAGACATTGTTCTGCGTTCATGGCCGCTAAAGCTTCCAGAACATCTTCCCCGAAATCACGATGTCGTGCAAAAGCGCATGGCACAGCGACATCACAGATGTAACTTGGCCACACCAAGTCGCAAGTTCTGACGTAATTAGTGCGCAGGCGCAGGCAAAACATGTTTTTGCCAACTGGATTTGATCTAGGCAAAGGAGAAGCGGCATGGCTTAGAGGTCAGGCAACTCAACATATACGGAAGCATCGGCGATTGTATGCTCACCTGATGGCCAAGGATAAAGATGTGTCTCCGGAAAAGATGGGCTAAGGTGGATGTCCCAAAAAATGTTGAGAAATGGTTGAAACATGTTGAAACCAGACACTTGGATTGATGGCATTGCGCTTCAGCGAAGCCGGGCACACCACTGATAGTGTTCAGAGAAGATGGTGACCGGGTCAAAAGATATACCCTGGCTCCGGCTGTCAATAAACACAATTTTGCTGTTGGGGCGAAACATTGTAAACCTATGGTGCTTCCCCCTAACCACACCCAACCCCTGCCTCACGCATGGCTTGCTGAAAGTGAGATTCTGGAGGGAGATGAGCTGAAAGGTGCTGGGGCAAACAGCGTGAGTACGCCTTCTCTTCACAGCTTGGTTCACGGATCCTGTGCCCGATCATCGAAATCAGATATTCGCACCCCTTCCCTCCACACGATCTTCCCAAAACTGTGTCTAGAAAGAGAAAGGATGCTCTGAAGTCCCTTTTAGCGCCTGTTTGGTCAAACCACATGACGCACCGGCCGTTGTGCCATCAAAAATGATACCTAAGGAACAAGGTGCTTGGCAATGTCCCTGTTGTGATGTTGGCCTTCCGAAGTTGTCTATGCCCAGAGAGCTGCGTAAGGCTGTTAGTGCGCGCCGGAACCTTCCCATCCCCACATCCCCATAAAAGGTGGCTTTGAAAGGTGACCCCCAAAAACATATCGTTTTGCTGAAGCGGCCAAAAGAACGGCGGCCAAAACATAAAGTAACAATTTGAAAGGACATGTTGTTCTCTATTTTGCGGCGGATCCTGTGCGCGAAGCTCAATGTCGGTGGTCAACTGCCTGCAGTTACTTGGTGGACATGGCGCTAGCAAAAGGTCCAAGGTACACGCGTGCAAAGCAGTGCGAAAAAACCGTGAAAAGCGATGCACAGGATTTGTCTGCTCACTAAGGCATGTTCTTTTTGACTGAATTTGGTGCCTGGCCGTTCAACTCGCAAGGGGTCCGGACACAGTGAGGTTTTGCAGGACGCGTCGCTTAGGTGGCGTGAGTCTAACTGCTGTGGGCGTGGGCGACGTTGGCGCTTCGTCATCGTGCATATACGCCCCAAAAAATTTGCATGTCGCTACAGGTTCGCGCAATCAACGCACACTATGTCCGCAGAGGGTGCGCCCACGAACGACCAAAATTCGCATTTTGCCACACGTGCGCGCAATCGACGATCTCAGCAGAGGGTTCCTCGCGGCGCACGATGGTTTGCATATTACCACAGTGTGGCGCATCCGACATGCACGATCTCCGCAGAGGGTTTCGTTTCGCGTCAGCCCGGCCTTGAGAGGAATTACATATGCAGATTTCGATTTTGTAGTTGGAAACACTTGTACCTCAACACCTGTATCACCTGTATCTCAAAACCTGCACCACCTGTATCACCTGTACCACAAAACTCGTATGTATATACAGTGTAGATGTGAGGAACCTAGGTGTTGCCCCTGCATGTATGCGCTTCATGCTTGCTGCGCATGGGGGTGCCGGGGTTGGTTCCTAACAAGACAATAAGTGATGACTCAGAAACAGGGGATGGACTCCATCAATTTAATTGGTGGTAGCTAAGGGTTGAGAAACGAAGATCAAATCAAGGGTATGTTGGCCTAAATAGTTTTAATCTGATTCGGGGTTGGCTCCCAAAAGCTCCGTTCTAATGTAGGGTAGCTAAGGGTTGACAAATGAAGAACATATTAAGGCCATTTTGGCATCAATAATCTCTAAATCTGGCTCCAAATTATGCCCATAAATTTCTTTTAATCCAAGGTGGGCTTTTGCTATTGCGCCTTTTGTTTGTTTGCATTCAGATAGATCCTTTCTCACATCGCCTCATCCGAAAGTGATACAGTATCCAGGCAGGTTGAGGAAAAAAAGTATGTAGCTTGCTCAGAGACAGAGTTCACTGCTAACAGTTCCCATATAACTGGCACTGCCTTCAACGAATGATGCTTTGCTGAGCTCTTAGCATTCTTACCGGCAGATTGCTGGATTTTTGAAAGTAAAGCATCACCATTTCAGGTGCTCGCGGTCTTCCTTAGTGATGTCCTCTCACTATCTACAGTAGCCAACCTTAATTCCTAGAAACCGTACAAGCGTTTGCCCATCTATGAGGCTGAGGTGCACACCCCCACCTGCACAAAGCCTACCAACCAACGTTGGCCACCCCCAAACAAACACCACTTGGAGGTCGGCTACCCAAAATGTTTTGGGTAGCCAACCCTCACTGGGAGCCACAACTGGGGATGATGATGGTAACAGTGACAGTGATGTTCTTGATGGTGCCCGTGCTGACGATGATGATGATGATGATGATGATGATGATGATGATGATAAGGGCCACTAGCTCTCAAGCCCTACACCTTCATCAGGTGCGGGCTTGTGCGGTTCTCCCCGCTCATGGTCAGCCTGGAGTTTTTGACCACCTCTACCGGCTCTTTACCCGGCAACCAGGTGGACTTCCTCAAGGGCCTCACCCTGAGACTGTCCCCGAGGCCGGTAAGGTCATCTTGACTGTGGTCTTCCTTTTTCAGGCGATTAACCTGTTCGTCCTTCGAACCTTTGTGAACTACCAGATCACCTCTTCCTTGAGCGGACAAAGATTCTGGACCACGAGAACCACCTCCCAGGTCCTTGCACCTACGGTTGGAGCTAGCTGGGGTCCCAAGTCCCCAGCCAGGGCTGGCATATACCTCCTCTTCCTCGGTTGCCTCTTTGGGCTCTTCCTCGAGGACTATATGACAAAGCTCAATGCCAACGCCATGCCCTGGTGGCCCGAGGGTTCCGGACCTGCCACATGGTCCGGTGAAGCCAACAAGACCTTTGCCATTCAGCAAACCAACACGGCAAAGCCGAGTGGCCTTGGATCCACACACCAACGTCTGGACAATTGCCAGCACTTTCCCAAGAAGAAATCCTACATTCGTGCGCTCAAGCGGGCCCAGCTTCACGGGCACACATGGTACAAAGGGAAGCTCTATACGGCCCAGATGCTTGGAGTCACTCCACTTCCCTGGCAGGTCACTGACACTCCACAGACTTCCTTGGGGCAACCTAATTCCTCACCACCTGCCAAACTACGGAAGAACAGGCTTCAAGGACTCAGCTGGAACATCGGCTCCCTGGGGACCTACAAATTTGACATCCTCCGGCAATGGCTGCATCAACAGCAACTAGACCTAATTCAACTTCAAGACACACGGTGGGGATTCACAGGTGATTGGACTGACAACACCTTTGCATATATCCACAGTGGATCTCAAGATCGAGCAGGAGGGCTACTGACCATCATCCGGAAGGCCTTCTGCCCTCCAGATCGGCTCTCCTGGAGAGAGGTTACTCCAGGGCGGCTTCTACATGCCCGGCTCTACCTTGACTCCACGG